GGCCAGGGCTTTGGGCCCTGAGAGGGGCAGGGTTAGGAACCATCTGGTGCTGCCAGCCTCACCAGGCGCTCCTCCGTGAACAGACCTGGTCCTGATGTCCCCGTAGTCCTCCTCGGCACCATGGGCTGACCCCTGAGGGCCATGTGACCTGACTGTGGTGGCCTTCTGTCTGTGGGGCAGGGGGCCTGAGAGGGTGGCCTGCAGTCGCCCCTCCCTGGTCGCCAGGCAATCCTTCCCTGGGGAAGACCCCCACAGCACGCCCACCACCTGTGCCCCAGCCCTGCCCGCCCTGAAGAGCTGAGAGTGTCCTTGGGCTTCTGCTCCAACTCTACGGAGTCCAGGTCACTTTGCAAGGGCTCCAAATGCCACCAGACCCACAGATCCCATGGCCAACATAGCCCAGGGCTGGCTTCTCCAAGGACAGGAGGAGACCTGACCTCAGGTACACCCCCTTGCTGGACGCCCTGTCCAGCAAAGGTTCAGTGTGGAGGTTGGGAGCCCTGGCTTCCAGCCCTGGGTGCCCTGAGTACAGCATGACCTTGGCCTGATCTTTGGACTCTTGGGGCCACGTCACACAGATGCTGAGCAAGGAGGCCCTTTTGCCTAGTGACTCGGATGGCTGTGTCCTGACAATCTGCCCACAACACCCCACTTCCTGCCACTTCCCTGCTCCTGAGGGGCCCCAGACCACCAAGAAGAGGCGTTGGCCAGTGCTGGAGGCCAAGGGCCAGCAGCTAGCACTTGGCCAACGGCCTCTGACTGGGCCAGACTAGCGTGCACTTGGGGTGACCGTGTCACTGGGGCTGTCAAGGCCTAGCTTCTCCTGCCCATCTCTCTGTCTCAGGAGCTCCAGCATCCCCAGCGCCCAAGGGCCCCCCGCCCCCCCATGTGGTCACATGGTGGCTATTATCATGAACTGCCCAGGAAGGATCAACTACAAGATGAATTTCCAACTGAATCTGGCCAGAGGGTGACAGACGAGAGCCCCCTCTGTGGGGTGGGGAACGCTGGGTCCAGCATGCGGCTTCACATGTGGCCTGCTGACCAAGAGGCCAGCACTGAGGACAGGCTGCCCCAGCAGGGGCAGTGCCTGGGACCCGTATCCTGCCAGGTGCATCAGTATGGGTGCTAAAGCAAGCTGGGAACCCAGAGGCTGACCCAGCTGTCCAGCCCGGGTCTCTGTCCTGGCCATGCCACTGCCCACCACCAGCTGAATCTGGGAGCAGTCCGCAGCCTTGTCTCCAAAAGCCACACTCCTGCTGAACTCCTAGAAGCCTCTGGGTCCTCAAATCTTGCCCCACTGCCCTTCCCCTCCTGCATTTCCTGAGTGCAGGGACGTGTCTTCTCCTGGGAGGCTGGCTGCTGTCACCCTGCGCTCCTGGAAAGAGGTTGGGCCTCAGCAGGTCTCCAGGAAGGTCCCAAACACTGGCCTGCTGGCTCTGCCCCTGCCTGTGCTCTTGGCCCGAGCCCCTCCCCAGCCTCAGCTGCCTCCACCCCACCCCCCTGGAGTCTCTTCCCTCCTCCCGGGGCTCCCCCTGGGTGCAGAGCTCGCGCTGCAGCCCACCCACCTCCTGCATGGCACATGCTGCTCCCTGAGCCTGGAGCACACACTCCTGCCTCTGCAGCCGGGTGGCCCAGAGTACTGGGAAGGGCGTCCCTGTCCCTGGCAGAAGTGGCCCCTGCCCTGCCCCCTCAGGCGCGGCGTTAGTCCACAACCGGTCCTGTCTCCCAGGAGCCCATGTTGCTGGCCGTCCTTGTGCTGGGTGTCTGGGGTTGGGCTGGAGGGCTGGACGCCTCCAGAGCCCAGTCTGCCCAGCTTCCATGCCCTGCGGGAGAGCCGTGGGTCAGGCCTCGGAGGGCAGAGGAACTGGGAATGGGGGCCAGAGGCCGCGGCAACAGCAGCCCTGTGACAGGGACACTGTGGGAAGGGGGAGCAGCCCTGAGTCCAGCTAACACCCGTCACCTGTCACTGGAGATGTGCCGAGTGCTACGGGGGCCTCCAGAGTCCCCCCGCCTCGCCGCAGGAGCTCTCCCAAAGCCACTGCCTTCCTCCACCCTCCAGGCCGGTCCCACCCCTGTCCCCGCTCTCGGTCCCAGCTCCTGAGCCAGAGGGACGTCTACACACGTGTCTGGTCTCGGCACCATGCTGAAATCCTCCGTGGCTCCTCTCGGGGACCCAGGGAGCCCGGGACCCTCTGTGGTTTGCCCACATACTCTGGCCTCGGGCTCTGAGCCTGCCAGCAGCCCCTGCCCCGGGGGGACTGTGCGTGCTTCTCCTAGCCCTGCACCCTACAGAGCCCTGAAGACATCCCTCCTCCAGGAAGCCCTCCCTGCCCAGTGGCGAGGGCACCCACCCAGCCCTTGCGTCTTCCCACGTCTGCCTTTACTCCGTGGTCCCTCCGGGCCCCTGGACGCCCCCTCACTGCGGGGAGGTGTGTCTGGGGTGCAGTCGGGACGCTGCCCTGGAGTCCCCAGGCGCGAGGCTGTTATTGCTCAGGCTCAGGGTGTGACTTGGGGACTGCTTCTCCCCTCGGGCCTCAGCTTCTCCATCCGAGACATGTGGAGCTGTCCCCCAGCACAGGGGCCGTGGTGGATGCTGGAGAGTGTGGCTGTGTCCACTGGGAGCGTCCACGGCCAACTCTGTCACTTGCCCTGTTTGACCTTGGTTTGATGGCACCAGCCTCTTTCCTGGGGGAAAGGGGACAACAGAAGTGGCGTGGGCTTGGATAAGCAGGAGGGTTTGTAGAGGCTCCGTCCAAACTGGGCCTGCAGGAGGGGCCCAGAAACCCGAGCAGGGAGGTCCCAGGCTGGCCCCAGAGGGGTCCCAGCAGGGCAGGGGCCATGGAGCAGGAGGCAGTGGCTGCTCCCAGCCCCTCCCCCACTGCTGCCCTGGGGAAGGTTGCCAGCCTTCGGAGCTCTCTGCACTCCAAGGCCTCATGGCCGGGCCAGGTCCCCTGCATTCCCAGGCCCCTGTCACAGTAGGGCAGCCCAGCTGTCCCTGGAGCTGGCTGGCTGAGGTGGGCCCTGGGCCAGCCCGCGTCTCTGCCTTGGCCCAGGAACGGCAGCCCCATGAGGCGGGGTCCCCCTGCACCCCTCCCCTCCTGCCACAGCGGGTGCCCAGGTGCCCCTCGGCAGCAGCACCTGAGACCCTTGGCCAGCACAGGCTTGGCGTGGATGAGCAAGCACTGGGGGCGGGGCACGGGCAACCCTCACGGGCACTTCCCTCCTCAGCCTTGGCTTCCCCAGCCCCTGCCCTCGCCCACTAAGCATGGCACCAACACTGGCCTTAGCGGTCCAAAAGGGCCCCATCTGGTCCAACTGACTGCAGGATAGGCTGAGCCCTGCTACATGGGACAAGGGGTGCAAAGGCTGGGGAACTCAGGGCCCTGGGGACTGTCCCTACTAGCCAGAATGTCAAGCTTTGTCAAACTCTAATAGCATTCCACAGCATGTGGCCCAGAGAGGGTGGGGGACTTCCTGGGGACACCTGGGGGGGGGCCTGCTGACCTCTAGACTCAGGTGATGGCTCAGGTCAGATGACGGAGCCCAGTCCAGCTGCAGGTACTTGTGAGGGAGGCTGAGCACCTGGACACTGTGTGGTAGTGGACCCAGCAGCACTGGGCTCCTGGGGGCTGGGCCGGGTGATCGGATACTCACCCCTGCTGTGCCCGTGGCCCCCAAGCTCCATGGTGCAGCCCTCTGGGTCTCCGGAGTGCACACCTGCCCCCTCACTCCACCCTGTTGCTGCCCCTGGGAAGCAGTGGGGACGGCAGGGGGAGCTGCCCCCGTGCACAGCTGTCCAGGCCCATGGTCAGCACCCCCACCTAGTCAGAGGGGTGGGCTGGGCTGGGCATGGGGACCCATGGGTGGCCATAGGAAGTCTCAGGTCATTGCCAGAGGCTGTGGCACTCCTGTGGCTGGGAGTGCCAACACCTGCCCTGAGCCCAGTCCCATCCACCTGGGTGGCCTGGCCCAGGCCTGATCTCAAGAGGCTGCCCAACTGTAAGGAGTGCTTGGAGGATGGGGCTGGGGGTCAGGAGGAGGGGCGGGGTCCTGGCGGGGTGACTCTGAGCCCATCTTGGGGAATGGTGGGTGCAGCAATGGCAAGAGGCTCAGGCTCACACTGAATGGGGAGGGGAGGGGAGGGATGGGCCAGGGTTGGAGGGAGGACTCCCGTTCATCCTTCAAAGCCCAGACCCAGAAACACCTCATTTTTCTGACAGGTGCCCACTTGGGTCAGCTCTGTTCTAGCAGGTGCTGAGCATGAGACACAATAGCATTGGTCTCCTAGCAGTCACCAAGTTCACTGTCTGTCCAAATAGGAGTCTTGAGTCTGACCCCTTGCGTGGCCGGTGTCGCAGTTCTGAGAGGCAATAGAAAGTGTCCATGACCCTTGTCCTGGGTGGTGGCCAGGGCGTGCTTCTGGGCTGTACTCAGGGCCTGCAGACATGCCTCTCTCTGTGGTTTGCTCCTTCTCTGCCCACATGCCAGGACTTGGGGACATCTGGGTACAGTGTGGTGGCAGAGGGAGAGTTGAGGGCCAGGAAGAAGGATGAGAGGTTGGGCCTCTGGGCCTGGAGGAGGCCAGAACAGGCAGGTGGCTAGTGATTCATGGAGGCTGGGGGTGGAGGCTGAGACAGAAGGCTTAGGAGGGGTCACCAGAGAAGGGGCAACAGAAGGACCCAGTATGAGTGCAGGCCAGACGCCTGTGCTCGGGGGGTGCAGGGGGTCTTCTGGGGCTAGGTGGAGGGCTGAAGAGAGGCTGCCCTGGGGCTGGGGGGAGCAAGCTGAGGCTGAGTGGGAGTCTGGCCTCTCCATTCCTAGCAGGTTGATCTCTCTGAGCAGCAGACCCTGCATAGGGACAGGTCCTGTGCTGGGTGGGGCAGCAGTGGCTCTGGCCTTGACCTCTTCAGCATGACCTTGCCCGGGCCAGTGAGGTGGCCTTGCCCATTGTCCCCCTGACCAGGTGCCCTGGCTGGGACTCTGCCCTGGCTGTCAGGGTCTTTCGAGTGGCCCAGGCCACCGTGTCCCAGGGCCACTGCAGGAGCAAGTCAGGTTGGTGTGGGTCTGACCCAGCCTGCGGGGAGGGCTGGGGACGGCCGTGTTCTCGGGATGGACCCTGATGTCTTCCCTTCAGCCCCGGTCACCACAGGAACAGAGCGTGGCACACCCCAGGGGTGCCGCAGGTGGAGGGGCACGGGACCCCTGCTCCGGGGTGGCCGGGCGGTCCGTGCTGGTGCCCCCTTTCCACTGATCCTGGGGTTGAGCAAGGGGGCTTCACCCGCCCTTTCTACTTATGGTGAGGTGGGTTTCACTGGGTTGTCGGGCTGCTCTTGAACCTGCCATCCTCCTGTCTCAGGGGTGTGCCAGCTCACAGCCTCACTCCTTTCCTTTTCCTTTTTTTTAACCTTTATTTCACTTATTTATTTTTATGTGGTGCTGGGGATGGAACCCAGGGTCTCGCACGTGTGAAGGGAGTGTTCTACCCCAGCCCCAGCCCCAGCCCCTCAACTCCTCACTCTTGATGGATGCTGCTGGGCCAGGGGACTTCGGAGCCACCGGGCCTCCCCACCCAGCCATCCCTTTGCCACCTGCCACGTTTTCCCCTGGTGCCAGGCGCCACCTGGTGGGGAAGTCGGGAGCCGCTGTGACCCGGGCAACAGTGGAGAGCAGACCTTCAGGCCCACTCCACCCAGAGAGCACAGAGGGGTCCGGAGCTCCGCAGCCCCCAGGAGGCAGGGACAGAGGCCAGGGCTGGTGATGCCCTGAGGGGTTGGTGGCCTAACTAATGTGGCGTGGGGACAGAAGGATGTTTAACCCAGCCCTGGAAGGACTGGAGTCCCCGTGGGCTTGTGAACCCAGGACTGAGTGTGGCCCTGGCTGTGGTCTGTCTGCCCGCCTTGGCCAAGCTGAGGCCCAGAGCCTCCTGCCCCCAGCTCACTGCTGGCCAGGATCTTTGGGGAGGCCCTGCCTGGCTCTTGGCCACGTGTCGGTAGGACTGGGTCGGCTTCATGTTTAAGTGCCAGGCTCCGTCCAGTCCCGAGGCCAGGCTGGGGAGCAGGACTCCGCAGCAGCCAGGGCTTTCTGGAAAGCAGACATGGCAGAACTGGACATCTGTTCCTACCCTTGGGCGCCCAGTGCCCACCTTGAGGACCTCTCAGCCCCCCTAGTGCCCCGCCCAGCGCTGGGCCGTGGGCACCCGGCAGCGGTTCCCTCTGCTCCTGGGCCTGCCGCAGCCAGGTGCCCACAGGGCGGGCGTGCAGGGCACTCTCCCACCCCAGGGCCCAGGATGAGTGTGTCCGCAGGGGGGCGGGACACAGGAGATGCCCCACAGAAGGCATCTGGCTTCCTACAGGGTGGGGCCTGGGGGCAGCCCTGGGGCAAGGCCTGGTCCCCTGCTCTCAAGCTCAGTCCCTGGGCACCTCAGGCCCTGGGCACCTCGCGTGTGACACGTCCCACCACCACTTGCCACAGACAATTACTAGCCTGGCCCTCTGTCCTCTGTCCTCCTGTCCACCCGGCCCCCTGCTGCCCTGCAGTGTCCCTCTAGCACCGCCTCAGACCCGAGGACTCCAATGCTCTGCTCCCCACCATGGTCTGGGCCCATCCACCTTGGCCTGAGCCCTGGTGGCTGTCACCTTTCAGGGCCATTTGCCTATAGGACCCTCTTCCCTCATGGTGGCCAGTGAGGAGCAACCTCCCAGGCTGGGCTAAAACCCCATGATGGCCTCTGCTCTGGGGACAGCCACTGGTGTCTTTGAGAAATGGGGGCTGATACGGTCAGGACTGCCTGGGACTCTGGACAAGCCAAGGCCCCGCAGGCCTTGTCAGAGCCTTCAGTGGGCTCTGAGAGAGGACACTGGGCGGCAGCTCTGGACACTTCTGTCCAGGGACCTTCGGAGTTCAAGGGCTTCTCAGGAGTCTTGCAAGGGACAACGGTCCCGCCCCTGCCTGGGTTCTCGGGTTCCTAGGGCTGCCTGAGGCTCTCCCACGGGTCCCAGGCCGGGACCTCTCTGGGTCTCTCCCTCATGGCAGAGCTAGCCTGCTCCACCCCAGGGATGCCAGGGCCCTGTGGCTGGGCCTTTGACAGCTCCTGGAGGAAAAGGAACGTGTGTCAGGGGCCCACCGTGCGCTGTTAGCCAGGGGTCAGGCCTCTGTGGGCGACCGCTCCTTCCTCCTACCCAGCCTGCCTGCCTGCAGCCCCCTGACCCTTGCTGAACTTGTTGCCCGGGATCTGTCAGTAACAGTGCGAACCAGGTCTCTGTCTTCAGTCTGGGTTAGGACAGTGGGCACAGAGAGGGTGAGGGACACAGCACATCTGGGCCAGGGCTCTGTACTTCCTGCTGGACGGTTCCTTCTGCCACACCCTGAGGCTGCTCTGTTGTGTAGAAGTTTCTGGAGTGAAAGATCCACTGCCCAGAGTCCTAGCTGTTGGCAGGGCTCCTGGCACCGGAGCTCAGCCTCCCTGGGCTGGGGCACATGGGCCCTAGGGGAGTGGTGCCTCTGTCTGGGGGTGACCTCAGACCACCTTGACTCTACCAGAGGCCTTGGGGTGCTCCCTAGGCCTCAGGCCCCATGGGGCAGTGGACCATCTGGCTGGACCCTTGTGGGTCCCTAGGTTCTACTGGGACCTCTGCAGACATCGCCCTGGGCTTCCTCACTCCCGATAACTGCCCCCACCCTGCTATGAGGGTCCCTGTCTCTGTCGGATCCCGCCGGGCACCTCTGGTGTCCTCTCCTGCGGGGCCTCCTCCCCCGGTGACTCTCAGGGCCTGTCCCTGGCCTCCCTGGGCTTGCTCCTCCTGGGGACTCTTGGAAGGGCCCCCACAGCTCCTCCCACTACCCCCAGCACCAAACTTGGCCCTTCCTCCTTTCTGCTGAAGGCCCAGTGCTGTGGGGCCTCCTCGCCCCTGCGCCGCCTCCTGGGTCCCCCCCCACCCCCCGTCCCTCTCTTCTCCCCATCTTCACCTCTCATGCCACCCCAGCAGCCGCCTGGGCCCTGACATGGCCAGCCTCCCGGCCAGCTGCTCACCCCCTGGAGCCCAGCTCCTGCCGGGCCCTGGACTCTGGTGGTGCCGACCAGGCAAGGGCAGAAGAAGGGGGAGGCCCGGGCTTGGGGAGAGAGGCGCAGGTGGCGGGGATGTGCAGGGGAGGGGGAGAGGGAGGACAGGGGCCGCCACCCGCCCTCTCTGCTTATTCCAGGAGGCCCAGGAGGTGGCGCTTTCTTCTCAACCAACTCAGACGTGCTGCACCGGCCCCTGGCTGGAGGCAGGCCCAGACGCCGGGCCCTGGGGAGGACAAGAGCTGCGACCAGGCCATCAGGGCAGCCCCACCACCTCCGCCCAGGTCGGGCCTGAGGGCAAAGCCGCTTCCTGTGGGGTGGCCACTCACCTGCCAAGGTGAACCCTCAGGTGCCAAGCAGGAAGGGCCCGGACCTGGCCCAGTTCCTGGGCCCAGGCCTCCCCCTGCTCCTCCTGGAGGCCTGGGCAGCTGAGCAGGCAGGATGGCTCCAGGACCGGCTGCTCCTGCAGTCCATCCTGTCTGCTGTGTGGCCTTGGGACAGTTGTTCCATTGCTCTGAGTCTCCGTTTCCACGTCCCTGGATGGCCCTGAAGACCACGGCCTGTGGCCGACACTTCAGTGTTCACAGCTGTGGCCTGAGCCTTCCTTTCCTGTCCCCAGAGAAGTTGTCTCCCCTTAGGAGAGAAACCTGGCTTCCCACCTGGACTCAAGCAGTGGGGGCTCTGGGCCTGGTCCTGGCTGGGCAGCTCAGGAGGCCCTGGGGTCTTGGAGGGGTTGGAGGATCACGGGCACTGGCTGGCAGCGTGTGGATGGTGAACTTGGGCCAGCAGGCAGGGTGGGAAGGCGGCCACAGGGCACCTGGTGGCCTCACGTGTCCTTAGGCTCAGCAGTAGGAGCAGCGGTGGGATCCAAGCCCTTTGAGCAAGCCACACCTGAAGGCCCTCTGCTCCCTCCCTGGTGGCAGCACAGCTGGTGCTCCTCCACTTCAAGAGAAAGGGAGATGGGGCCCAGAGTGAGGCGGTCCAACCACACTGCCCTGGCTGGCACGTGGCCAGCCCTTACCTCTCAGACCCTGCCTGTTCCAGGGGGCAACGTCACCGAGACCATGCCTCCTAAATGCCATTAGATGGGCACAAGTCTGCCACAGGGTCACAGCCCTGACAGTGGAGGCGAGACCCAGGCCCTGGCCCCCAGCACCTGGGCTCCCAGGCTGCAGCCTTCCCCGTGCCACCCCTCTGCCGGAAGCCACCCGAACTCCAGGTCTTTAAATGACAGGCCATCCTCGCCCCTCCCCCGCCCCCCCCCGCGTCCCCCCCCCCCCCCCCGACGGCCTCCCTTCCTGCACCCACTAGGCTGCAGGTGTCTGCTGGGGGAGGCGGCTCCCTGCAGCCCCCTTCCCTGGCTCGCTCTTTGTGTGGCTAGTTGGAGGGGAACAGAGGCTTGGGGGGGTGCTGTGGGACAGGGATGGCACTGCCCGCTCACTGGCAGCAAGCAGGGTCTGCACAGGCCAAACTTGTCACCTGGGGCTCAGCATCCTCCCTGTGACTCAGAATGGTGCAGCACAGAGCAGAGGAGAGGGTAGGCGGGGGCAGGACGGGCACAGAACAAACACCTGCGTCTCCTCTCCAGGCGGCTCAGACTCCAGCCCCCACGGCCCTCCCCTGAGTTGTCCTTGAACCCAAGACTTCGGCAGCCCAGAGCCACACACACCCCCCCCACCCACTGCCGGGTTGGAGGGTGGGGCTCACACAGCTGCTACTGCCTCCTGCTGCCACACGGGGTCGCTGTTGGGAAAGGCACCGTTTGGTGGCAGGTGGCCCAGGGGGCTGTGCACCCAGGGTCTCCTGAGGGCCACGAGGTGTGGGGATGAAGCAGGCCCAGTGGGCTCAGAACTGAAGGAGGGGCTCACCCTCCCAGGGTGAACCGCCTGGAATGGGCCAGGCCTTCCTGGGCCCTTCCTCCATAAAAATATCCCCCACTCTAGGTATGTATGTATGTATTTTTATTTTTTTTATTTTTAGGTGGACACAATATCTTTATTTTATATTGATGTGGTGCTGAGGATGGAACCCAGTGTCTCGTGCACGCTAGGCGAGCGCTCTACCTCTGAGCCACAACCCCAGTCCTCCCCAGTGTATTTGCGACTGGAATAGTGAAGATAAATCTATAACCCAGGGAGACACCACGGACAGCCTAAGATCCACTGTCCACTCTGCACTGCATGCCATACAATAAAAAGCACACACTTGCTTATTATGTTTAGATCACATCAATATTCCTTATATATGGTACATGCTAATATTTTAATACTCATTTGTCCTTTAGATTTTAAAAGGGGTGGAACTGAACAGTCCTGCGTCCCTGGCAGGCCTGATGTGGGGACCCAGCCCCTGACTGGCCCCAGCGCTCATCCTGGACCACAGCCCTGTCCCTTAGTGCCCCCAATGCCAGGTGGGCCTTGGCTCAGCTCTGGGATGCAGGGTCTGCTGGACAGTCATCCCTCCTGGTGTCCAGGGTCAGAGGTGGCTTCCTTGGAACTTAGGGCCTCTCAAAGGCCCAGCTGGACACTGCAGAAGCCTGGGGTCTCTGACTTCTAGGAGGAGGATGCAGACTTGCTTGGCCTGCCTAGGCTGTGTCCACATGCTGGGGCCACCTGAGGGGTCCTGGCCTGGCTCTCTTCCCAGGACCCCTGGGTGTGCTCAAGGCCAGACCCGTATGCCTGTCTGGGGAGCTTGGTCTAGGGGCCGGGGCAGGTCCCTGGGTCCTCTAGCACGCAGCATGCAGTACGAACCCAGCTGTCCCCAGGTCCAGGGGCAGAAGCCACCTCCTGAACCACACAGCCTGGCTCTGACCACCCTCTCACACACACCAGCTGAGCACGATGCCCTTGAATCCTGAGGCCACCCTCTGAAGTGGCAGCTCTGTGCCCCTGTGTGATGGCTAGGCAGGCCCCTCTCTGCACCCACAGGAGGAGGGGAAGCAGGCATGGTGAGTAGAAGGCTGGCTTGGGCCTGACGTCCCAGAGCTCCCCCTTGCTGCTGGCCAGGCAATGCAGCTGACCAGAGTCCCCCTTCCACAGCCCACATGTCCACCTGACATCTTGCAGTCAGCCGAGGCACAGCACCGGAAGTCAGGAAGGGACACGGGGTGAGCCAGCTGTTGCCTCTTTCAGGAAGCCACCCTGACTTCAGGCCCTCCCCCAGGCGGCCCTGCTGTGGTCCAGCCCTCAAGGGGGGCTGCTTCTGTCGCTGGCTGCGCCCCCAGGCCTTGAGCTCTGCAGGACAGCACCTGGCTGCCCTGTGGTGTAGGTAGCAGGAGGGAAGGTGGCGTCCCCTGGACATTCACAGTCAGCTTGGGCAGGCCTGGCTGCAGGCCCAGAGGTGGGCCCTGAGCAGTGGATGGGGTGGGGACACTGTGATGAGCAGGAGAGCTGGGGCGGGGGGCAGGGTGGACGGGACGAACACTGGCGCAAGGAAGGGGTCATGGGCAGACAGCACAGGGAGGGGCAGAGAGCGCGCCCGGGACTCAGGCCTGGGGTGGGGGTGTGGAGACACAGACAGGACCAGGGGTTCCAGGGTCCAGTCAGGCACCAGGGCTGAGCTGCTGACCGCGGCTGCGAGGCGCTGCAGGCTGGGTCTCTGTGCTCAGCACGCCTGGCTCAAAGGGGTGTGTGCAGGGTGAAGGATGTGCTGGGGCCCAGGGTGCAGGGGGCCCCCAAAGGAACTGGGGTAGATAGCCAGGAGCTCCAGTCAGGCTAGCCCCCTGGCCCGAGGCTCCCTGCAGTGACCCCCCAGAACCGTGCCCTCCGCCCCTGGGCTTCTGCAATGAACAGGCCAACTCCAAATCCTGTCAGAACAGCTTTTATTGATGTCCTGGCCCCAGGCAGCCCCCTCAGGGCCTGCGAGCGGGGTGGCCCTCCTGGGGGACGACGTGTCTCTGAGCGCCTCAGGGAAGGCAGTAGGTTGTATAGTTATCTTCTGAGGGGCAACATCACTGCCCTGAAACCACACAACCTACTACCTCACCCCGCGGGCGCCCCAGCTCACCCTGCAGGAGGGCTGCCCGCCTCGCCACCCCACGCCCGCCCAGCCTTGCCCGTGTCGCATGGCCACCGGAGCTGGAGGGCCGGGCAGGCGCAGGGCCGGCGCAGGGCAGGAGGGAAGGTGGAAACCGCACCTCGTCAGGAAAGGCAGCGTGTGTGCCGGCTGGCCTTGGGAGGCCCTGGACTTGGGTTTCACTATCCACCCCCACGGTGTACCTGTGGGCACCCCAGTGTGCTCAGAGAGCGCTCCTGGAGAGGAGCGCTTCCCACTTGGCCGCCCCCACCCCAGGGGAGGCCTGACACTGAGCTGGACGGGCTGCCCACACCAGGAGTGTGGGTGGACCGCCTTGGGGTGGCAGGCCAGGCTGACCCTCACTGCCCCCCGACCCTGCCAAGCCTGAGCTGCCAGCCTGCAGCTCTATCGGCTGCCCTATCAGCTGGAGCCAGGTGCAGTCCAGACCCTGCCCAGGGAGGCCTGAGCCTGGGCCTGATGTGGGGCCCGAGGGAGGCTGGGCCAGCTGCGCCCAGTGGGCGGCAGCAGCTGTGAGCCCCTCTGCCCTGGACAGGTCACAAAGCATCTCCTTCAATCCCCATTTGTCCCATTTCACGGAGGAGGAAACCGAGACTCAAGGAAGGGTGCTGAGGGACCTATCCAAGGCCATGCACGCGGACCCCAGGCCTGTTAGCCCTCCCACTGCCCGGCAGCCACTGCCCCATGCCCCATGGCCCTCCCAGCCAGGGCGGCGTCTGTCCATCGCAGAGATCACAGCCACTTCAGGAAAGACAGTAGATTGTATAGTTAACCCACAGCAGGGCAGAGCCCCAAACTATACAACCTACTACCTCACCCCAAAGGGCGGTCAGTCTTGGCGCCGAGTCGGACTTCGGGTTTCCAAGGGCACCTCCTGTGGAGGGGAAGAGAGCTGGGGAGGGGGTCAGGACCTGCTGTTGAGGGCACAGGTGCCAGCAGAGGCCCGGGGCTCTGAGGTCCCCAGAGTGGTCGCTTGGCCGGTCACCAGCATCATCAGGCACAGGAGGCTTCAGGAGACCAAGTGGAGGGACAGCAGAGCAGAGGGGCAGCCCAGGGGCTTTGGTCACAGGCAACTGGATCACTGCCTTCAGACAGGAGCAGCCACACGTCCCCAGGGATTCCTCCTGCGTTGGAGACACTAGGAGGAAGGTGTCACTTGCCAAAGGCCAAGTGTCCAAGGGTGCTCTGCGGCTCTGCCTGGCCGAGACCCACTCCCACACACGGCCTGGCCTGCTTCCTGCTGTCACCAACAGTGTTCATGACCCAGGGTCTCGGGCTGGGCAGTGCCCAGGCCGGCACCCTCCCCTGGACAGGTAGGGAGCCCTTCTCTTACCCAGAGCTTCCAAAGACAGCCTCGAACACCACTGACCACAGCCACCAGTGTGGCCATCACCTTCCCAGGGGACCCCGAGGGGAGGCTGGTGAACAGTACTTCTGCTAACCCTTCTCACAGGAGAAGAGGCTGAGGCCTGGAGGTTGTGACTCTCTAAGGTCACACAGTTCCTGGTGGCAGAGCCGCTGGAACATTCTGCTTCCAGCCTAGTAAGGTGGCACTACGGCTCTGAGCTCCCTGATGTCCACGCAGTCTTGAAAACTGCCTCAGACCCCCTTCAGGCCCCTCCTGACAGGCTGCCTCCTCCAGGCAGGCACCAGGCTATGCCACCCCGTCCTCACAGCCCTGGTGGGGCTGGGACCACCCACCCCACTTCACAGTGAGGCAGCTGAGGCTCAGAGTGGGGTCTCTGGCCCCAGATGACAGACCTCAGGGGCAGGCAGGCTGCTTGCCGTCCTCAGCCGCTGCTCTCTGGGTGGGCCTTGGGCACCTGACACTGAGCAGCTCCCCACCCCAGGAGGACACCAGCACAAGTCCCAGGTGCCCATCACAAAAATAGCACTGGGGCTCAGGTCCAGCGCTCCCCACTCCCATGGGGCGCAGCCAGGAGGGCCCCATGAGGTGACATCTAGCCATGGTGGCAGACACCCATGTTCCTCAGGGCCCCAGAAGGAAGTGTGCTCAGAAGTGTTCCCCGGCCTCCAGCTTGCACCCCTGGCCTGGCAGACAGGACGCGAGGCCCCTGAGACTCCCCTGGGGTGGCTGAGTGGTCCACTGGTGAGCAGTCTAAGCAGGAAGTCTGGGGGCATCTTGCACTGCCACCAGGAAAGGTACCTGGCTGTGGTCAGCCTCGTCACCAGGGAGGACACTGGCTCCCGGCCCAGAGCCCCACTTGGATGTCCGAGAGGGACTAGAGGTCCCATCAACTGCCTCCATCTGGACCCCACGGAAGCGGCTCAGGAGGTGGCAGGCTGGCCTCGCCTCGGCCTCTCTCTGGGACTTCCGAGCCTCTGCCGCTGGGGATCTGCAGCAGGACTCCAGGCAGAGGAGCTGTCCCGGGAGTCCGGCACAGACCCTGTGTGCTGTGATGTTTCTGGCACTTTCTAGGCCACATTCTGTTTTGCAGTACTGGGGAGGGAACCCAGGGTGCTCTACCACTGAGCTGCACCCCCAGCCCTTTCTATGTTTTGAGACAGGGCTTCAGGCTGGCCTTGAACTTGCAATCCTACTGGCTCAGCCTCCTAAGAAGCTGGGATTACAGGTGTGGCCATGGCGCCCAGGTGGGCTGCTCTTAATGAACAAGCAGAGCTGGACACAGGTGTGCGTGTGCCCCCTCACAGACCACAGCCCTGCTCCTAGCCTGCACCTGCCTGCCCTCCGGGGGCCTGGGGTCACGCAGAGCCCGCAGTGCTCAGCATGCACAGCCATGAGACGGTGGGGGACAGAGACAGAGCCCTGGCCCACCCTGGCCACAAGTCCTCTCCCCTGGACCCCAGCCCAGCCAGGCAGCAGCAGACGGGACTCAGTTTCCCTCAGTGGCCTTTCTTCCCGTTCCATGTTAGACTCACCTGTGTGGCATCCCAGTTGGCCGTCAAGGAGAGGTGACCAGAGAGTATCGGGTCACACTGGAGGGCTGAGTGGCGGAAGGGCAGAGAGGGGGGAAGGGCAGAGAGGGGGGCTACCTCAGCACCTCCTGTCCCCAGGGCCCTCGAGGCTGGGCAAGCCTGCGGAGGGACAGGTGCACACAACCCCAAGCTGGGGACAGTGTGTCCTCAGGGTGCGATGGAGGCGGAGCTGAGGGTTCCTCTTCCACGTGGACGCTCTGCAACGTCTGGTCTGATGGGAAGGCCAGGAAG